GAGATAGACCACATTCATATAATTTGTATTACAGTGTATTCTAATAATTGTTCTATTTTATTATTAGTTATTGATAATTCCTTACTATGATTAATTTATAAATTCAACTTTATTGTAAATGTATATATATATATGTGTGTGTGTGTGTGTGTGTGTGTGTGAAGTGTGTAATTTGGAGAGACTATATATATATATACATATATATATATATATATACATATATATAAAAAACATAGTAAATATAGAGTTTGATACTATCCTTGGTTTCAGGCATCCACTGGGGTTCTTGGAACATATATCCTGTTGATAAATGGGAACTATTTTTGTTTTTGCAACTTTTTTACTTATTCAAAAAAGCATTGCATTTCTGTTATAATAATCATAGTTCTCATAGCTTCCAGACCCCCAATAGGGCCCCAACAATACCCTAGAAAGTTTTTTGAATTTCCAGGGGAATTTTGCACCACTTTTTAAATTTCTTTTTTTTCTTTTTCTCAGTGTTTGATTTTTTTCAAACTTCAATAGATTTAGGGCATACAAGCATATTTTTTATGCAGATGAATTATAGAATGCTGAAGCCATGGTTTATAGTAGACCTGCCAACAGAATAGTGTACGTAGTACCTGATAGGTAATTGTTTATCCCTCACCCCTCTCTTCCTTCCCTCCTTGTAAGTTTCCAGTGTCCACTACACTTTATAAACATATGTACCCACCATTTATCTCCCACTTAAAAGTGAGAATATGTGGTATCTGTTTTTCTATTCCTGAGATACTTGACTTAGGAAAATTATTTTCAGTTCCATCCAAGTTGTTGCAAAAGACATTATTTCATCCCTTTCTATGGCTGAGTATCACTCAATGATATGTATGTATATATCACATTTTCTTTATCCACTTATCAGTTGATGAGACCTTAGGTTGATTCCATATCTTTCCAATTGTGAATTGTGCTGTGATAAACATTTGGGTACAGGTCTCTTTTTTATATAGTGATTTCTTTATCTCTGGGTAGATACCCAGTAGTGGAATTGATGGATCAAATGGTAGCTCTACTTTTAACTATTTGAGGAATCTCCACACTGTTTTCCATAGAGGTACTAATTTACATTCCCATCAACAATGTACAAGCATTCTCTTTTGAATGCATCCATACCAACATCTATAGTTTTCTGATGCTTTACTAATGGTCATTCTGACAAGAGTAAGGTGGCATCCCATTCTGGTTTTAATTTGCATTTCCTTGATATTAATGCTATTGAGCACTTTTTTTCACTTTTTGGGGTCATTTATATGTCTTCTCTTGAAAAATATCTGTTCATATCTTTAGCCTATTTTTTGATGGACTTATTTGTGTTTTTTTCCCTAATTTGTTTCATTTATTTATAGAATCTGGATATAAGTCCCTTGTTGGATAGGGAGTTTGTGAATATTCTCTCCCATTCTGTACTTTGTCTACTTACTGTAGATTATTTCCTTTGCTTTACAGAAACGTTTTAGTTTAATCAGGTCTCATTTGTTGGTAGTATATTTTATTTGGGGTCTTATTCATAAATTCTTTTCCTAGGCCAGGTCCAGAAGAGTTTTTCTTAGGTTTTCTTCCAGAATTTTAATCATGCCATGTCTCACAATTAATTCTTTAATCCATCTTAAATTAAATTTTGTGTAAGGTGAGAGATAGAGATCCAGTTTAATTCTTCTGCATATTGCTCTCCAATTTTCCCAGCACCATTTATTGAATAGGGCATCGTTTCCCAGTGTATGTTTTTGTCTTTTCTGACAAAAAATCAGTAGGTCCTAGGTATATGGCTTTATTTCTGTTTTTTTCTTCTGTTCCATCAATCTATTTGTCTACCTTTATAGGAGGTATCATGCTGATTTGGTTACTAGAGCCTTACAGGATAATTTGAAGTCAAGTAATGTAATGCCTCCAGATTTATTGCTTTCACTTAGGATTTCCTTGGCTATTTGGGCTCTTTTATGATTACATATGAAATTCAGGGTTGTTTTTTCTAGTTATTTGAAAAATGGTGTTGGCATTTTGATGGTAATTGCACTGAATCTGTAAATTACTTTGGGCAGTACGGACATATTAATAATATTGATTCTTCCAATCCTTGAACATGGAATGCTTTCCATTTGTTTGTGTCACCAAATAGTTCTTTCATCAGTGTTTTGTAGTCCTCATTATAGAGATCTTTCACCACTTGTGTAAGTAGATTCGCAGGTATTTTATTTTTTTGAAGCCATTATAAATGGTATTGAGTTCTTGATTTGACTCTTAGCTTGAATGTTATTAGTGTATAGAAATTCTATTGATTTGTGCACATGGATTTTGTGACCTGAGACTTTACTGAATTTATCAATTGTAGGAGTCGTTGGAGGAGTCTTTAGGGGTTTAGAGACATAATACCATATTATTGGCAAACAGGGATAGTTAGACTTCCTCTTTTCTGATTTAGATGCCAATCATTTCTTTCTGTTTCTTGATTGTGCTGGCTAGGACTTCAATAGAAGTATGGTATGTTCAATAGAAGTGGTAACAATGAACATTCTTGTTTTGTACCACTTCTTAGGGGGAATGTTTTCAACATTAATCTTTTCAGTGTTATACTGGCTGTTGGTTTCTCATACATGGCTTTTATTACTTTGAGGTATTTTCTTCTTTGTGTAGTTTGTTGGGGGTTTGAATCATGAAAGAGTGTTGGATTTTATTGAATGATTTTTCTGCATACATTGAGGTGATCATATGGGTTTTTTTTGCTTTTAATTCTGTTTATTTGGTGAATCACATTTATTGATTTGCATATATTGAACCATCGTTGTATCCCTGGCATGAAACCCACTTGATCATGGTGGATTATTTTTTTGATGTGCTGCTGAATTTAGTTTGCTAGTATTATATTGAGGAGAATTTTTGCATCTATTCTCATAAGGGATATTGGTCTGTAGTTTTCTTTGTTGTTGTGTCCTTTCCTGCCTTTGTTATTATGGTGATACTGGCTTCATAGAATGGGTTAGGGATGATTCCCTCCTTTTGATGTTGTTAAACATCTCAGTAAGGTAGGTACTCGTTCTTCTTCGTAGATCTGGTAGAATTCAGCTGTTAATCCATTTGTTCCTGGGTTTTTATTGATTGGTAGATTTTTTATTACTGTTTCCATCTCACTACTCATTATTGGTCTCTTCAGGATTTCTATTTCTTCCTGATTCAATCTTGGAAGGTTGTGTGTTTTCAAAAATTTATCCATTTCCTCTAAATTTTCTAATTTGTGTGCATAAAAGCTTTCATAGCAGTCTTGAATGATATTTTGTATTGCCATGGAATCAGTTGTAATGTCTCCTTTTTCATTTCTGATTAAGCTTATTTGAATTTTTTTCTTATGTTCCTGGTTAATCTACTGAATGGTCTATTGATTTGTTTATCTTTTTAAATAACTAACTTTATGTTTCATTGATATTTGTATTATTTTTTGTTTGTTTCAATTTTACTTATTTCTGCTCTGATTTTTTGTTATTTATTGTCTTCTGGTAGTTTTGAGTTTGGTTTGCTCTTCTTCTAATTCCTTGAGTTGTGACATTAGGTTTAGGTTGTTAATTTGTGATGTCTCTATCTGTTTGGCATAGGCATTTGGTACTATGAACATCATGCTTAGCACTGCCTTTGGTATATTCCAGAGATTTGGGTAGTAGGTGTCACTTTTGTCATTCAATTTGAAATTATTATTTTTTTAATTTTTGTGTTGATTTAGTCATTGTCCCAATGTTATTTCAGCAACAGTTTATTTAATTTCCATGTATTTCTTTAGTTTCAAGAGTTCCTCTTGTAATTGATTTCTAATTTTATTCCACTGTAGCATGAGAGGGTACCTGGTATAATTTTGATTTTAAAATCTGTTGAGACTTGTTTTGTGGCCTAATATATGTTCTATCTCCCATAATGTCCCATATGCTGATGAGCAGAATGTATATTCTGCTATTTTTTTGGTACAATATTCTACAAATGTCTTTTAGGTCCATTTGTTCCAGAGTTCCATTTAAGTTTAGTGTCTTTAGTCTTCTTAAGGAGAATACTTTTCATCCAAGAATTTTGTATTCCCACAATACTAAGTTTTATAAATGATGAAGAAAGAAAATATTTCCCAGACAAGCAAACACTAAGGGAATTTGTCACCACTGGACCTTCTCCACAGGAAATACTTAAAAGTGCTCTATACATTGAACAGTATGTTTAATACCCACCAATGTAAAAGTAAAAAACTCACAGCTCTTATAAAACAGTAACCCAAGTGAGAAAACAAGCTAACTAGATAGCAATCAACATGGTGACTGGTATAACATCTCAGATGTCAATATTACCATTGAATGTAAATGAGTCCTCTACTTAAAAGGTATAGATTGGCAAAATGGATAAAAAATTACAACCCAAATATTAATACATGCCATCTTTAAGAAACCCATTACACTTGGAAAAATTCTTACAGACTCAAGGGAAAATGGTAAGTAAAATATTTTATGTAAATGGAAACCAAAAGCAAGCAGGAGTAGCTATTCTTATATCAGATAAAATAGATTTTAAATTCACAACAGTAAAAAGAGACAATGATGGTCTTATATAATGATAAGAGGGATAAAATCAACAAGGATATATTGTAATCCTAAACATATATATACCTACCATATGAGCTCTCAGATTCATAAAACAAATACTACTCAAGGAAAGAAATAAACAAAAAGCAATATCATGATAACTGGGGAATTCGACACTCTACTGACAGAAGTAGACAGATTATTAAGACAGAAAATCAGCATCTAATTTTCTTCAAAAAGAAAGTTCATTTACATCTGCTGAGTTTAATAGGGAAACAATATTTTCCTTGTGGGAAATATGTTCTCAATGCAGACTTATGTTGACATCTTGTGTGAATCCTTTGGTGTTGATCAACCTTCCAAGTAGTGTCAATGCATACCTTATTGAGATTCCATTTGTTGTTTTCACAGATTTCAGGAAGCCTTACTGTGCCTTGGATTACAGGGTGTTCTAGAAAAAGAGCAGTAAGTAATCTTTCATTTAAAGCAGCAAATGAGTTTGTTTCCCTTGTGTTGTTCATAGAAATGTCACTGAAAAATTATGATTTATGTATAGCTGTAAAAACTGAACCTTGATAAAACAACATTATCTCAAAGGACATATTTTTAGATAATAATATTTATATATACCACAAAGGCAATCTTAAATAAAATATAATAATGAGCACACTATATAATCTGTGGCCAGAATATTTTTGGTTTTGGAAAGCGTTCAAAGGTAATTCATAAAAATATCATAATTTTTTTCTATGTCTAATTAGCCCAGTTAATTTGATCATACAATTGAATCATGGCTAATATAAGATATCTCAATCAGTATTAAATAATTTACCTTATAATTTCCTTTTAGTGCAATTCAGTATTTTAAGGTGATGAGTAATTAATTTTTAACAACCTTATTTTGTTCTCAGACTTTCTCCTACATCTGTTATGATTTTTATATTAATATAACAGAACTTCAGTAAAATTGTTTTTTTATAAAAGCATCTAATTCAGTCGGTCTGTGTAGGACTGCATTTTAGCTACACTCCAGGAGATTTGTATGTAATTGGTCCATATATAGGAAACTATTGAAGAATTTTAACCATAAAACAGTCATGAGTAGCCTTTAAGAATTATAACTCAAGTTATGATATGATAGATAGATTTGGGGATAAATAAAACTGAAGCTAGGACTTCAGTATTAGTAGTACTGTCTAGATTCCTTTCTGTCTTCTCTTCCCCAGAGTAGAACTATAAACCCTGGAAATAATAAAAGAGGCCATCAAAGGAATACTCTGAATTGTATAAAGAAGAAGGCACTGCACTGGTTAAGAACTCCAGGATGTAGAGGAACCAGGGTGTTTTGTCCCACACTTAGCAGTATAGGGCTACTCAAACCAGGCAAGTCATGACCCTCAACCTATCAAGGTAGCTTGAGTAGATTCATTTCTGGTCCAGATGAGGCAAGAATCCCATAAACAACATTAAATAAGCCTGGCAACATTAGCAAAGGAGATCAATTGAAAGTTCTGCTGATAATATGCAGCCAGGAGAAGTGCTTTTATTCCTTACTGGGCCTGAAATTTCCCTCCCTCACCTGGAGACACCAGGCAACAATGTGAAGAAAGATACTGCTACACCAAGCAACTTGGCCTGGGCATCCACTTTGCTTCTATAAGCCAGAGAATTATTAATATTTTTTCCCGCCTCGAGAATCAGGTGACTGGTCAGCACCAAGAAGAGAGATCAAGCCACAAAAAGCACCAAACCCATTAACTCCACTATCCATCCCTTAAAGATGGAGAATCAATTTCTCACCTGGAGACACTGGTTTATTGGGTGGCACCAACAGGGGTGATCTCCTCACAAGTGCCTGAGCTAGATAAAGTCTTTCTCTCTCCTTAGGTGGCATGATCAATGATCAGTGAAAACATCAGTGGCACAAAATAAATCAAGCAGATGATATTAACACCGTGAAGGTTTTGAAAATTGAATTATCATTAGACTCATAACTCATGAAAGTAAGCTAAGACCTATGTACTAAACATAACTGGGTGACTGCCTGCAAAAATAAAAAAGATTTAAATAAACTCTCCTAAGGTAGTGGCCAAAATGTCTAGGAAACAACTGAAAATTACCCATCATATCATGTACCAGGAGAATCATAACTTGAGTGATAAAAGATAATCAACTGACACAAACACTGAGATGAATCAGATGATGGAATTATCTGGTAAAGATTTTAGAGCACTCATTGTAAAAATGCTTTAACAAAGCAATTACAAGTTATCTTGGAACAAATGAAGAATATAGAAAATCTCAAAAAAGTCATAGAAGATATGAAATAGAATCAAATAAATATGAATTATAGAGTTAAAATACAATGACAAAAATAAAGAAAAAACTTGCTATTGGCACAATATTAACGTGGATATGGAAAAGGATAGAGTCAGTGAATTTGAGGACAGATCAGTAAAATTTGAACAATTTGAACAACAGTGAGAAAATAAACTGAAAAATAATGAACAGCCTCAGAGTTGTGTTGGACAATAACAAAAGATCCAATATTTGTATCATTGGAATCCTACAAGAAGAGGAGAGAGTGCGGACTGAAAGAATACTCAAAGAAATAATGACTACACTCTTTCCAAATTTGGAAGAAAATAACACAAACCCACAGATTCAGGAAGTTGAATGAATTCCAAACAAGAAAAATGTAAAGAAATCCACACCTAGGTACATCATAATTAGACTCCTGAAAACTAAATTCAAAGAAAATAATCTTGATAGCAGCCAAAGAGAAATGATGCAATACCTATAGGAGAACACCAATTTAAGTGACAGTGGACTTGTCTGAAATCTTCAGGCAAGAAGGAAGAGGCACATCTGATATTGGGAAGATGGCAGATAAATCACAGCACCAGCCACACCATCTGTGTAAGAAGGAGAAATTTTAGAAAGAGAAAAAACAAAAAGACAAACAGATTGGGTGAGGGTCTGCAGGAAAGATGCCTGAACCTACAGGAGACTCCACAGTAAAAGGTCGTAGAGCAGAACTGGAAGGAGAAAGTCATGGGCAGGAATTAACCCAGAGAGGCTAGAAGGCTAGCAGGAAGGGTGGGTGCATTGGTTAATATCTCCCTCCCTTGCATCTTGGACTGTTGGTGGGCTCCCAAGTTGCTGGAGCAAACCTTCTGCCAAAGTGAGGCTCGTGAGTGGAGATCACTGCTGATACCAGTGAGTGGAGATCTTCTTATTGACAGGGCAGCAGGTGTGACCCTCTCAGGGTGCCTCCCACCTCACAGACCTGCCATGTTGCTTCTCTACCTACTAGATACCTTTGGCCTCCCCAGTTCCCTCAGCCCCTCAGGTTCCATCATGCTCATCCCCACACAGACATTTCTAAACTCCAGCCCAGACTTCAGGAGCCACAGGGTTCTAGTGGGTCCCAGAGGAACTGCATGACTTCAGAGCCCTATCATTCTGGGAGGATTGCCTCCAGGAGAGAGGGTTGGATATGAGGAGAAAGTAGACTTTCCTCCACCTAGACTCATTTTTGCCCCTTCTCCTCCCTCACAAGTGGCAGATAAGAGAGAAAATTCAGCCACCATACAGAGGCCTCCACAGGGAACGGGGCTTAGACTTTTCCTTTTTGTGTCCTGCAACAGGTTGAGGGGAGCCTGGACTGTGAGCTCCCCATGTGCCAGTACTTCCTGGTGCTCCTTGCCTGGAGACTCCAGCAGAACAAGACACACACCAGGGTGGAGGGGCATTCAATCAGTTTGGGCACCCTGTAAGAGAGTCTTGAGACTATATCATTCTCCTTGGCATGGTCAGAGATTGACCTCCAGGGCCCGGGGAAAAGACATGCAGACCAGACCCTGTACACTCAGGGTTGTTTCAATATTCTTGCAATTATAAATTGTGCTGCCATAAATATTCAAGTGCTGATGTCTTTTTAGTTAAATGCCTTATTTTGATTCCCTTTGGTTAAATACACAGAGGTGGGATGGCTGGATCAAATGGTAGTTCTACTTTTAGTTCTTTGAGGTTTCTCCATATTAAATTCCATAGAGGTTGTATTAATTTGTAGTCCCACTAGCAGTGTATGAGTGTTCCACTCTCTCAACATCCACACCAACATTTGTTGTTGTGGGACATTTTGATAAAAGCCATTCTAATTGGAGTTAAGTGATATCTCACTGTGGTGTTGATTTATATTTCCATGATGATGAGAGATGTTGAGTATGTTCTCAAATGTTTGTTGGCCATTAGTTTATCTTCTTTTCAAAAGTTTCTCTTCATGTACCTTATCCACTTTTTAACGGGGTTGTTTAATTTGTCTTTTCTTGATAATTTTCCTGAGTTCTTTATAGATTCTAGTTATCAATTTTATATTGAATATATAGCATGCAAATATCTTCTCCAATTTTGTAGGTTGTCTATTGTTCTAATGATTGTTTCATTGGCTATTAAGAAACATTTTAATTTGATCAAGTCCCTTTTGTTTATTCTTATTGTTGCTGTGATTGCTTTTGGTGTCTTCTTCATAAATTCTTTGCCTAGGCCAATGTCGACCAGAGTTATTTCAACAATTTCTCCTAGAATTCTCATGGTTTCATGCCTTAGGTTTAAGTCTATAGTCCATAATGTGTTGAATTTTTTAGAGATGAGAAGTGCAGATTCTGTTTCAGTCTTCTATATGTGGCTATCCAATTTTCCCAGCACTGTTTATTGAACAGGTATTCCATTGCCCAGTATATGTTTTTGTCTGTTTTGACAAAGATCAGATGGCTATATGAGTATGGTTTTATACATGGGTTTTCAGTTCTGTTCCATTAGTCTATGTTTCTGTTCTTGTGCCATTGTCATGCTGTTTTGGTTACTATAGTCCTGTGGTATAGCTTTACGTCTGGTAAATTGATGCCTCCTTCTTTATTCTTTTTGCTTAAGGTTACTTTGGCTATAGAGTGTCTTCTCTGGTTCCATACAAAGCATAGCATTATTTTTTCTAGGTCTGTGAAAAAATATGTTGGTATTTTAACAGGAATTCCATTGAATCTGTAGGTCTCTGTGAGTAGTATACACATTTTAACAATATTGATTCTCCCGATCCATGAGCATGATATGGCTTCCCATCTGTTTACATCCTCTGCTATTTCTTTCTTCAGTGTTTCATAGTTCTTTCTATAGAGGCCTTTCATCTCCTCAGTTAAATATATTCCTAGGTACTTTATTTTCTGTTTTGCTATTGTGAAAGGTATTCAGTCTTTGATTTCATTCTCAGCTTGACTCTTGTTGGCATATATGAATGCTACTGGTTTTTGCACATTGATTTTTAATCTGAGACTTTCCTGAATTAGTTTATGATTTCCAGTACACTCTTGCCAGATTCTTTGGGGTTTTCTAAATACAAGATCATCTCCTTAGCACAAATTGATAGTTTGACCTATTCTTTGCTCATTTGCATGCCTTTGATTTCC